CTTGGACACATTCTTACATATGCCACATCGTGCTATGGTCTAGCAATACTGACTGCGTCTAACTAGGGAATTCCCGTCACTGTCGAATAATGCTCAATTGCCATCTGCTAACCAAGGGTCTATGTGGTCAAGTGCTGGAAGTCGAAATCTGAGCGGTCCGGTCCAAAGAAGCCAAGCTACGCCAATCCAATCACAAACCGGACAGGAAGATCTTTTCAACCCCTCAACGTCTCGGATGACGTCAACGCATGGTTCTTTCCGATTCGGTAGCCAAGGAAATCCATCGAGCACAAGCCAAGCTCAGTCGAACAGTGTAGATGAATTTCCTCCGTTGAATCGAAGCGGGAATGGGGATCTCGCGCCTGGCTCGCTTGGCTTTGGATCCCCGAATGGCGCGTCAGCGGGGCCACCACAAACCACTCGGGGGAATGGACTTCTGAACGCTCTCTCTGCTAACAGCCGGTCGAGCGGTGTGCGGTCACCTCCTGGAGGTGAGAAAACGGCCATTTCCACCACATCCTATGATATCTTATCAACTAAACACCCATTTATTAGGTCTCACGCGGTCTCAGCATGCGTTCCGTGAGGATAGCCTGGATAAGAACCTGCAAACGGCTGTTTCACTGAGAACCAAGGAAGGCGAAGTGGCAACCTCTAAATCCAAGGAGGACAAAGAAAACCAGGCTCCAGAAGCTGTTGATCCCCTTGAAGGGATGCCTCAAGCTGACAAGTGGGGGGTGAAGGGCCTAAGAACGCTGATGAATAATTATCCCGACTATCATACTATGGTCGTGGGCATTGATCCTGGAACTTTGGGTGTGGATATCACCTCTCCAGAGTATGTTGGACTTCACTGTATACCCTCTTTGTGCCTCGTGACTTGCTTACAATAAGATAGGCTCATCTCCAACCAACATTACTCTCTATTCGATGATGCGCCACCTCGCCCTACCGTGAGTGGCAGCAAATTTCGATTACCCGACTGCTACAACGTCACCAACGTGCAACCTATTGAAACCAAAATCGGAAGTTTTAATGAAGAAACTCTATTCTGGATTTTCTACAGCTGTCCCAATGATATCAAGCAACATCTGGCTGCTTCTGAATTGTAAGTCTATTCGTTTCGCTCATGGGTTCCTCCGTGCTCACCATCTCTAGACATACTCGTAACTGGAGGTGGCACAAGAAGCACCAAGTGTGGCTTACCAAAGACGAGCACATGACTCCTCAGATCCTGAGCCCGACGCACGAGAGAGGCTACTATATCGTCTGGGATACGGCTACCTGGAGGAAGGATAGAGTAAGCTCAACTCTTGTTTTCCTATTCGATGCCTGGGTGGCAGTACCAAGTTGAGTTAACTGACGAAAACATTCACAGCGAGAATTCACACTGTATTACAATGACCTAGACACGTCGCTGAGTCAACCACCGGTATTGACCTAAGGGTGTATTTTGGAGATTGTAATCATGGGTTTCATCTTGGAATTAGGCTATGATTGTTGCTTTTTTACTCTCGTACCTACGGGAGTGGGAGGATTAATCTTTGTTGTGAGGCGTTCTGGCCATTTTGGGGTTACGGACCGGTTTCTTCTAGCATGAGCACCAACTAGGGAATGGGTTCACAGAGGCTCCAGGGAAAGGGACACAATGGCTACATGGAACAGATAAATTTGTGGCCGCCCTGCAAATGGACGAGGCGCATCAAATCAAATGAATGCGTGATATTTTATTATCGAAAATCTTTGGATGCGTGCCTGCTTTGTAATAACTGGACTATCATCGTCAACGAAGGTGTTCTGATGTTGTGAATACTCGTGACTGTAGTTATGGTTCAGTTATTTGAGTCGGGTGTCTCTCAAAGTGAGCTATGTCGGGAAAACACGTTGGATCATCCAGCTAGTGCCTGAGATAGTGACATAGAAAGAGGCACATGAAGGGTATACATGTAATAAATAGCCCTGTCAGCAATCAAAAAGTCAAGACCTATAAAGTAAGTTTTATTTCCCCTCCAATTCTTATGGTCAGATATTAGAGGCTGAACGCTGCGGTGCCACGTTTTCTACTACTCACTTAAAAAAGGCAACTTGGAGGATTAGCTCCAAGTGCCGTCATGCCACATGTGAAATTGCCCCAGGACCCACCGTGCATTTAGCCGTGGATTTCCCTGATCATGACACCCAACGACAATGAAGACAGGTGGGAGATAGGACGAGTTAAATCATCTGGATGGGCAGTATTGCTCGTTTATTAGCACCATCAACCTAGCGACCATTGCGGCCATGCATTGCTAGGGCCACATAGCAATATACTGGAGGCCCACCTCGGTTTGACGTTCCGCGATACCATCGAAATCCATACCTAGTCACCAGCTCTCGTGATCAGCAACGAACACCTAGAAGCATCTCAAACATCGACTTTTATCGCTCATAAGCCAGCTGTGCCTGAAGCGGGCACGCCGAGGCACAATGTCTGAGGACCAGATTTCCCTTCCCTACTTCGTGGTTATTCTGGTCATTTTTGGATTCATCATCCGCTACCTCTTTTTTAATAATGGCAATACGGCCGCGCGACCAGGACGGTCGCAAGAAGCACTCGCAAGGTCAAGAGAAGTAGCTGTGGAGAGGATACAGCAAATGTTTCCCCAAACAGACCGACGAAGTATTCTGTGGGACCTACAACGCAACGGCGGCAGCATCCAGGTTACAACTGAGAGAATCCTAGCTGGACGACTTGACACGGTAAGTGAAGCCCGTCCAATTCGACCCCAAGCGATTGGAGAGGGAACCCGGAGCAGTGTGGCTGACAAGATATATCAATTTAGCCCCCAGTCACCTTCCAACCCCCTCCCCCGCCAAATCAAGCGCCGACTAGCTCGAATGCCGGGCAGTCCTCTACGAGGCAGGCTGCCAAGCCCGCTCAGCCTGATTTGATCACACGATACAACCTCACCAACAAGATCGACGGAAGCTCGGAGAAGGAGGAGAATGATAAGAAAGGAAAGGGGTGGAGCTCGAATCGGGATGAGAGACAGGCATCGCTTCAGCGACGGAGGGAGGAAATGATCCTGGCCGCGAGGAGAAAGATGGAAGCCAAGATCGCGGCCGAGAAGGCGACGAGCTCTGCCAAGGACGAGTGAAGTGCTCGTGAGATCAAAACTTATCGTATTCCCCCCCCTTTTGCGTCGCAGCCTCGAGACACCGACGATTCAGATACGGAGCCGGAATTTTGCTTGGGAGTCAAAAAGGCGAGGGCTTGGGTTTTGGGAAGGAGCAGCGAGTTTTTATAATTCAACACTACCTACATATATTACTTAACTCCCGATCATCAGTATCACAGAAATATTTAGAAATTTGGTTTCTCTGACACGGTGATCCTCTCGAAAGCGGTTATTCGGCGTGCTGGGGGGGCTATCACATGACAATTTAGCCCTCCAAACCAGGTAATGGTTATACATGAAGCGAATGGGAGATTGGCAGGCGATGTCATCCTTGCTAGGGTTTAAAGGAAGAGACTTTAATATCTAGGCAATATTGGAAATGGGCGATTAATATCGCAAGGTCATGTAGAGCATCAGTATATAATTTCCGCCGGTGAGAGTGTTACTATGATTGAATCATTAGGTACTAAAAGGCGAGATCTACACTTGGAGAAGACATTGAATGAGGCTGGGCAATTGCATAGCCATGCTGTATCGGCGTTATCAATATCATATACCCATCCTCATCTTCTGCACGTTTTGGTATTAGCCCTTTGTCCTTCATACATGTGCGCCCTGTAAACGTATATTCCCTTGTGACCGAAGAAACAGATTTGCGCAACACATTTGTAGGATACTACGTAAAACTCCCGCCATCTGAGATGTTGTACGCGGCCCCCAGCAGCGAGCCTCTTTAGTGGGGCAACTCTGGTGTCCCTCGAAGATACAAGGCGGCAAGTCGAGCAGGTACTAGCGGGTACTTGTGAGGTACATCGCTGGCCCTTGGCAGCTGCATCATCACAGGCTGCTCTCACACACAGCCCCTCCAAGGCGACACATCACCACCCAACTCGCCCTCGGGTGCCGTGTGGATTTCCTACACACCCTCGTCGCATCTTGCTTAGATCCTACTGCAAAACTGCCGCGGCCGCACCCATCGTACCATTTTTATTTTCGGTCTGTCGGCTAGATGCATACACGTCTGGTTCTTCCAGCCTTCTGACGTCATCCAGGACACAAAGTAGCTGGCGTAAGTACCCTCATGTACCTCCACCACAGCTCTCCAGTCTAGCTCTCCAGGATGGGTGTATTAAAAGAAATCTGCCACGGACCCCATGGCGAGAGCTGGGGTGAGATCCGCCGCTCGTCGATGCATGCTGAAACCTTTCAAGATCCCCGCGCCCCTTTGCACTTTGCACTTTGCGCTTGGTTCTCTTGACCTCTTGTTCGCTCGTTGTTGACATACTCTCGTGCCTTGTTGCAGCCCCACAGCGCTTGATTCGCATTGTTGTCTGCGGCCGTTGCGCAAGGCGACCCAAACAGCAGATCCCGAGCTCGCTGACTCCCTCCCACTCTATCCTACCGACCTTACCCAAACTTGCCTCTCTGCCTGTCAGTCCGTCAGCCTGCCACCACAAATACTTTGCTTTCCTACCCCATAACGACTCTCACCTACATTTCCCCAAACCTCGTTTTGAATTGTGTAGCCCGGTCATGGCTTGCTGACATACCTTTGCGAAAAAGCACGTAAACCGGTTCGCCAGCAGACTGGCTTGTCCCTCCCACCCCACAACCAGAGTCGACTCTTCTGTTTCGACCTCGTCTCTACTACCACCTCGCGCGCCTATTATTCGGACGAGAAAGACGTTGGCAGAAACTCGGCACGCGATCTTTTCACCACACCCAGCATTTCCCCACATAATGTTTGTTTTCGCATACGATCCATCGGAGTAACGAAACAGCAAGATCTAAGCCGTGCACCACTGGTAAGGACGAAGAAGTGCTCGGGCTTCAGTCTCTGCCATGAGCTCTTCCCAGGATTACTACGCAGACTTGGAACTGCCTGCAGATGCAGATGTGACCGACATCAAGAAGCAGTATCGTAAACTTGGTAAGGCTGCATCGCACGCCTACTCTCCCCGATGGCCTAGCTAACAACCTTGTGGCACAGCTCTTAAATACCACCCCGACCGAAATCCTGGACGAGAGCAGGAGGTCAATTCCAAATTCCTCGTCATCCAAGCTGCTCATGATATCCTCACGGACCCGCAGAAAAGAGCCAAGTACGATGCGACGCGGACAAGGTCTGGCGCAGGACGATATGCTGGTTCCTCTGGTGTGAAGGGAAACCCTTGGTCCGATGTATCCCAGCAATATCCTGTGCCACCTCGGCGGCGCAACGATCATGCACCTAGAACCAACCCATCCCGTGGAGCAGAGCGTTGGAACACTCGATTTTCAGCTGGTGTCCCCCCCACCTCAAAACAGAATGCCTCGGACGCTGAAGCGAAGAAGAATTTCGCAACAGCATTTGAACAAATGCGAAACACCAAGGCCCAAGCTGGTAATAAGAGCAACCAAGGAGCCAGCCGCACATCAGGGCCTCCGCCCCCAACGCCGCCCCGGAGCGAGTCTGCGAGGCGCCGTGCGGAGAACGCGTTCGGGACAAGCACTGCCAGAAAGACGGGATATCATCCGCGTGGAGCGACAGTTGGAGATGAGCCCCCAGTCACGAGTCAAAACTATTCATCACGGCCGGACAATCACCGTTTTGAAGCCGAATCTTTCGGTACACAAGTGCCTATGGAGGACCCGCTTCGCCAGTTCAGAGATGACAGCCAAGCCGAGAACCGTCATCGGGCTCCCTACACAACCCATGGTGGTGAGAAGACCAACCCATTCGATGGCATTAACATTAGCCGTTCTAAGAGCATGAGAGAAGCGGTTCGTCCTCAAGCCGCCTCAAATGGGTCGTACTCTCCGGAAAAAGCCCCGTCGGGCAATGCCAGCGACAGTGCTACCAGTAGGTCGATCGCAAGGGCCATATGTTTTGATCCATTACTAACAACAGTCTTAGCTTCCAAACCACAAGGTGCCAATGCTGGCAAAAAGACAATGTACGGACTACCTAATTATTACTGCCCATTACACTCCCCAGAACGCCTCTGCGGCAACTGCGAATATCCACCGCAATCGTTCCTGGACCTTCTCTAGAAGACAAGGCCTCGAGATGATGGGATGGTAGACATTGCAGGGGGCACTTCAACACTCTCTGATTCATCAGCTCCAAGTGGAGCATACTCTCAATACGGCAATCTTACGCCTTTCGAACAAAAGCAGCGGCAACTGTTGGACCAGTTAATCAGAAACTCTGGGACCTCATTGTTGCCGAAATCGAGACTGAGAGCCTCCACCACAAATGGCCTTCACAGAAACATGAAGGGTGCTAACTTGTGCTCTAATAGCTTCAACCTGTCGGATGACGAAACTGGGAAGTTCGCCAGGAGTAGCACTGATGATATCAACACCACATTTGTCGACGACGACGGCAAGACGCAATGGCAGTTCGGTGCTGGTAGGAAAGACGCCTCTACTAACCAGCAGAATCAAAACGGCGGAGACAGGACACCCTCGAAATCTCCGGCAGCGAACTCATCGAGTGCCCCGAAGGCTGGTCAAGCCTCCCAGGCACAAGCTGCCTTTGATGCCAATACGTGGGGTGATCAGTTTGGGCCGCACACTTTTGAGCCGCAAACTCGAAGTACATCTGTTTCGCCTACCAAAGCCAGCCGCGCCAATTCTAAGAAAACCAGGCAACCCAAATCGCAGCCAGATGTGATCACGATCGAGGACAGCAGTGACGAGGAGGTCTTTTCGTGGACTGGACGCAAAACTCAAGCAAATCCAGCCACTGTGGATAGCCCCCAAGCTATGGATATAGACCCGCCGCAAGAACCAGTGGCAGAGCAGGCACCAGTCCATGAAGCCCGAAACATACCCGTCGAGCCCTCCAGACCAGAATGGCGGTCTGGCGATCTCGGCGCAAGAGCGGGAAGTGCTGGGTACAAGAAGAGCCCTGAGACAAAGGTAAACGCCAATGCGGCGGGGTCAGAGGACAGCGAGGAGTTCAAGGCCAGTCTCGCAGACCTTAGTAACGTAGCGCCGTTTGCTCAGCAGGCATCGGGTCTAAAATCTTTCAAGGACATGAAAGATCACTTACCATTCGAGAGTAAAGCGTCGGATGAAGTTTTCGACAGGGGTGGCAAGGACATAACACGCTTAACATTCCCGCAAATCCCCGTCGCCCCTCGACCATCCCCCTCATTTGCAGTCGAAGGGATCAAGCCTACAGCCTCCGCTTGGCAGAAATACGCAGCCGAATTTGAGACATACTTACGACAGTGGGGCGAGTTTAACAGCAGTGTCATCGACCATTTCGAGGCGCGGCGAAGCAACTTGGTTGCCTCAAGGGCAGCCAACGGGTACGACTTCCTTCGTGCGAGAGGAGATGAAGGCTGTGCAGAGTATTTGAAGTCTGTTAGCCAAGACAATGATGTCCGAAGACGCTGGAATGAGGCGTGCGAGAATCACGAAGAGCGGCTGCGAGAATTCATGACGTTCAGAGCTAAGATGAAATAAGGGGCGAGCAGGGAGATTGTTTATTGTACAAAAGTAGTTGGGCCTATGCGCGCAGGGTGTTCTTTTGCGTCCGACTTGGATGTCTCGACCTGTGGGTATCACGTTTCTGGGCAGCTCACAAAATGCCGTTGCTTTGGACATGCAACACTTGCGCTGAGGAAACCGTGATGATGACGGGCTGAACAGATGATATTCTGATGCTGGTTTGATAGGGACATATATGGGAGTGCAGTTAGATTTTGATTTTGATAACCATCGGGCGTTGGGCATTGGTAAACGGATGACTGTTTGCATTTCAACGACATCAAGCAGAGATTCTCAATGATTTCGGTATGGCTAGAGATGGGCTTAGGTGGTTAGAACAAATACTGGGCCTGAGGGACTTGTCCTGTTCAAAGGGGACTGGCTAGGGGTTGGTGTGGTGGAAATAAAGGTTATACATTCCGGTGTATATCTATCCTAGCGAAGCGCTAGGTACAGAATTCACGAATACAATGAATTGTTACAATTACAATTAGACTTGCTCTCCTTCTCATCGTGGGCTTGATGTCAGGGGGGAGCATGCGAGGGGCCACCAGACCGAAGGCTCCGAAAGTTTGTATCAATCACGGATGAAAGGGCTCAGAACTGTAATGATAATTTGACCAAATTTCACGTTGGATGTACTGGCTCCTGCTTCAGCAGGTGGAAGGAGCGTGCGGGGTGTGAGTAGCCGTGCCCTGCCTGAATGCCTTTCATCTCAGCCTTCCACCTCAGGCGGCGGCCTTCTCACCTCTTCCTCACAACAACACTCGGCTCCACACCAAACAACTCAACTTCAGATCATCAAGCAGGGCATCTCGCATCTCCCACTTCTCACAACAGCAAGCTTCGTTTGCACCTTTGCAACTACATCATCTCAACTCCGACAGTTACCAGTTTAAACGCATTGCAAGACCCGTAAGTGCTCGCGAGTTTCGACCACATGAAGTTCATCTCTCAAACACTTGAAATCCGATCCATTCCCTTTCCAAGCGGATCTTCCCTGTTCATCACGTTCTTTCGTCGCATTCACTTCATCGTTCATGGGCTGGGCACTCTTCAGTGACTGCGCCAACTCTGATAAGGAGCATAATCTAAGTTTCTGTAGCAGAGATTCACGGTCAAATCCGACAACCTACTCGAAATGTCGACCGAAGTTGACAATGGGAAGGGAGCGTGGACGGAAGAGGCGAAGGTAACCCCGATACATCCACCTCTATGAGAAGAATCAATGTCTGACATGTTGTCGCCCTCAGTATCAGTTCTTGCTTCACATAATCCGTCATCTCCGGGAGAAGAACCGCACCATCAACTGGGCAAACATTAGGATGGGCGAGCGTTCGGTCAAGTCACTTCAGAATCAGTGGACAAAAGTCAATAAACAACTTGCTGAACTCGATGCTCAGCAGGGCGAGTCAGCGCCCCCTACCCCGAACAAGGCTACTGGTCAGTCCCCTTATTTGCTTGCATACACTTATTCTCCCGTCTCCGATATTTTTTTTATTGGCGAGGCTCCATTTCAAGGCATGTCACATGGTTCTGACTTCTGTTCTACCTAGGCAAGAAGGGGAAGAGGGCCAAGCCTGAGGTGGACTATGAGGACGGAGATGATGAGCCAAGCCCCAAGAAGCGAGCCAACGGTAAGATTATGATCCAAAGATCGCAATATTAGCGGGCTGCAGCTGACAGACGGATCATGGCAGGGAAAACCCGTGTGAAGGCTGAGCCAAAGGTGAAGATGGAGAAGAACGGCGAGTTTGAGGTCATGTCCTCAGAGGACTAACTCCAAAACGACGTCCAAATCGCCTCTTATACAATGAAGAAAATGCGCCTCTCAAAGTGGAATTTTCTTTGATTAATCTCTTATTCAATCTGAGAAGATACCAGAAGAAGCCATATTGACTTTTTTGGGGGGGATTGAAGGACATCGAAGACTTGTCGGAAACCAGAAAGAAATGTTGCTGTTATGCGAAAGAATATGGCCATCAACCCACAACTAGCAGGGTCAGGCATGAGACGAGGGATACATTTACAGGATTTGCTGGCAATAGGGGTTTGATGCTATGAGCTATTTTGTCGTTGTTGATCTCCTTTAAACGAATAAGACGAGGTTACGATTGCGTCTTTCAATTAGTGAGCTAGAGGCAATTAATGAACTTGAAGTCGGCATCAAGCCGATGTTGACAAACAGAGTAATCCGCTGGTGCACTAGTATCCGCAGTATGTCATAATAATATGCAGAACCCGGGCAGTTAGTGCTCCGGGAATATTGCTCCCGAATGGGTCGACAACAACCCGGCAGCTCGTCATGTTACGATCTGCCGCAAATCCTTGCCCTCTCAATACGCAAGCTTGGAGAGATATCAGATAGTACTCAGTATGCGCGAAACATCAATTCTGCATATCCCGGCCTAAGTTCAACTCGCCTACGCTCAGTATTAAACCGCCATGGCCGACGATGAGAGAACCCCGTTGATCGGCGATATACCGCCAACCAGTGGCGGCGATAATGACGAGAGCACCGTGGGCCAAGCATCCAATGTATGCACCACGGAATGGACACTTTCGGCCATTTCAAAACGCCTTTATGTCTCCCACTTTCTGTCTACTTGCAATTCGCGGGTCTTCGAGTTCGGCAGCGTTCTTTACCTTGCCGCGGTCTTCCCCGGGACTCTCCTCCCTTTATCTATCTATGCGGTGAGCCGGAGTGCGTCCGCAATCTTATTATCCTCTCTTGTCGGGCACTATATCGACTCCGGAAATCGCCTGCAGGTTGTTCGGTGGTCTATCGGTGAGTGACTCGGACCTCGGATTACAAGGCCCATTTCCTATCACAGCCACGTGCATTTGGGCCGCTTATGATCGTGGTGTTTAGTTCTTCAGCGTGTGGCAGTGGCAGTTTCTTGCACACTATTTTTCATCCTGGTCCGTGGATGGGCGAACTCGGAGGCGTGGAAAACTGGTTCGCTGGCGATCCTCATCGTGCTCTCATGCGTAGAAAAGCTGGCATCGATTATGAATATTGTGTCCATTGAAAGAGACTGGGTATATTCATATCCTATCTAAGTTCAACCGAGGTTGATTCGCCTTACATTCTGACCAAATTCTTCTAGGTTGTTACAATCGCAGGCGATGATCGTGATGGGCTCCAGGGTAAGTTTTCATGTGAAGAACGACTCTACGATGTCTTTTTTGCTGAATTAGGCATATGCAGTTATGAACTCGCAGATGAGACGTATAGATCTTATCTGTAAGCTCTTCGGCCCGTTTCTAATCGGCATCATGGACGGCATTTCGACTGAGGTGGCTGTATTGGTCAACTTTGGAATGAACGTTGCATCTATTCCGCTGGAATACTTGTTTATCGCCCAGGTAGAGATCGGCAACTTGATTTGACACAGGTCACAGTACTAACTTCTGGTCAAATGAATAGATATATCAAAAAGTCCCGGGACTTCGGAGGCGCGAATACCAAGAGCCGACATCTGAAGCTCCCGGGAGCGATGACGCAGTCCCTCATCGTATTGCCCAAGTCACAAGACGGATAGGGGAGGGCCTGCGCAAGATGAGGAAAGACGTCAAGATGTACTTCAATCACAGGGTCCTGCTGCCCTCCTTCAGCGGTGCTTTATTGTATCTGACTGTACTGTCCTTCTCGGGTCAGATGGTCACTTTCCTGCTCTCGAGGGGTGTTACGTCCGCTGAGGTTACCATGGCTCGGACGGTGTCCGTAGGTGTAGAGGTGCTTGCAACTTGGGCGGGCCCATGGCTGATGCAACGGATCGGCCCCATTCGGGCGGGCTTATGGTTCGGGAGCTGGCAGCTCGGATGTCTATTGGTAGGAGTATCCATGTTCTGGAGGTATATCGACCAAGCTAGGATCTCGGTGTCAGGGCTGGTTGCCGGTGTCATCCTTAGTCGCCTTGGACTCTGGGGATTCGACCTCTGCTCGCAGTTTATTATACAGGAGGTACGTACTATGCACCTTTCAACTATATTGATTCCCGGCTGACGTTGTGTCTCCCTCTCACGAACAGGAGGTTGAGATGGCAAACCGAGGCGCGTTCTCTACAATGGAGACATCGTGGCAGAATGTGTTTGAACTCTGCTCTTACCTCTCCACCATCATTCTGTCGGACCCGAACCAGTTTGGATACCCGGCCACAGGCAGCGTCCTAGCTGTGGCCTGTTCTTGGATTCTCTACAGTCGCTTTGTGTGGCAGCGCCGGGGGCATCTGCTGCACTGGCCAGCTTGCTTGCCCCAAAAGACGCGGCTAACCGGAGAGGACAGCACGACTGCGCTGTTGCGACGACGATCATGGTACTCCACGTAATGCCATTTGGATCACGAGAGCCCCTAAACTTGGCAGCGATTGCAAGTAGTATATAGAAAAAAAGAAGGGTGTGGGGGGAAGGCGTTGGAGGATGAGGCTGGAGGGGCGGCAGGGGGGCATATGCGAACGCACACCTGATGAGGAAACTCATGCATGTCTCACCGATCTTCCCTTCGGCGGGATGTTGACTGCTCATAGGAAGATAGCAGATGAAATGCACATTCTGGGGTGGGTGGGATGGCGGGGGACCGGGGTGGCGCAGATGTGTGACGGGTGAGACATGATGGGAGCATTGGGGGGCTTGCAGCCTGGCCAAGGTCGCCTCTGATGCAAGACATTGGGTCGTATAGAGTTGCGCTTGGCATCCATCCGGATGTAATGGGGAGTCTCGTGGCTGGTCTGCGACCCCGTTGAGGACTGGGCGATATATATTTGTAGCGCGCGTTGGAGATGAACGTGGAATAGAGCGCATGCCACTCAAAATGGTATGTGGTTGCCTTCTTTTGTTTGGTGTTTTTTTTGTTTCCTTCTCCGTGCTCTCATGACCCATTTTCGTTCAGAAGGGTGGATGGACGTGTAAGAGCAAACCTCCCGCCTCAGGACCTCGTGTTAGCTTGGGAGGAGCGGCTTAACCAGGCTTGTTTT